TACAGCAGGATATGCTTTTTTATGCAGCCGCTGGTTGGGAAAGCGTCATTGTAATATCTGATCCCTATTTTATACCGGATAGAAAGAATTGGTTGAGAGATGTGCACAGTGGAAATTATCGTTCCTACTCATGCAAGCCGCCCCCCATCCCTTATTCTCAGGGAGAGAGGAAATGGCTGTGTTGCGGCTGTGTGGGGAGAAATAGCTTTAGTAGGGGTGTATTTTTCCCCAAATAGCGGGGTTCCTGCCCTGGAGTGATGGGGGAGTACCCTGAGTGGCGTCGTGAGAGGCTTGTACCCAATGCAGATAATCGTGCTAGGTGATTTCAACGCTCACCATACGGCGTGGGGACCCGTACGCCCAAACCCTAGGGGAAAGGTGGTATACGATGGATATGTGGGGTTGGGTCTCGAAGTTTGCAACAGGGGGACAAAATTCACCTTTGTTAGGCGTTATCAGGGAAGAGTAATAGGATCAATTGTCGAGCTAACTTTCGCCATTCCTGCAATTGCATTGCGTGTATATAGGTGGAGAGTTGAGGATAGCACCGAGACGCTGTCAGACCATAATTTCCAACCACCTTTTACTCTTTATAATAAAAATAAAATAGTCTAAATCAAATTCTCAGTTGGGGGATCGTTCTGTGGAACATTTCTAATCTAAGAGTCCTCCGACTGCAATGATATAATTTTATTTAGCCAAGCTTATTTTTATTTTGAAAATTTTGTGACTTTAGGGATTATTTTTATGATTTTAGAACGATATTTGGATCGATTTTATTTTAAGTATTTTTTTGTAGCGTCTAAAGAAATAAAACTATCTAACTGTGATAGTTTAGATACAGTCTGTGCCAGTGTACAGACACTGGAGTCTAAGTAATAGAATGCCGTTTTCTTAGGGTATAGATTAAGTACGAAACCCTAGAAATGAATTTAATCCTATATTTCTAGTTTACGTTTGAACATTTTGACGGAGTCTAATGATTTAAAGCAAAATGCCCGGACCGTCAGGCTGGAAGTGTCTGGAAGTTGATATTAATTTTTGACAATACTAAACTACACTTCCTTTATTGCTTGATATCTTTTAAATGGCTGTCAGACCAAGCTAGAAGATAGGCATACTATCTAAATATATACTTGTGTTAGTTTAACATTAGCCCATCAGAAAATAAGTAACATCTGGCGACTCTGGAATTTTACTCAATTTCAACGTTCTCTGTCAATCACTGGATGCTTATACCTACGCCTGATTTTTATAGAACGCAATTATTAGTTTCTACATGTTATCTTCCTATATTATTACTTTTATCTACGAATTTTGTCTCGGCTCGAAAACTTTTTTTCTAAGAGTACAGTATTTTGTATATATAAGAATCGTAAAAACACTAATTTTCAAATTTTACGAATACGCAAAATTTGGAAAGTTGTTATAATAATGCACTATTCATATAGGTAATAGGCACACATTACTTTAGGTGCAGAATTATACTGTCTGAATTATGGGCATTTTATAGGCTAAAACTTCGTATAAATTCTATTAGTGATTCGCGTTCGTTTTCGACAGAAAAATAAATGGATACCATCGACATCCTAACAGGGAACATCTTTGAAATAATATAAATTTGTATAGTGAAATAAACAAGTTATATAATAACGTGCTACTTATATCAATTGAAATCACTTTCTAAATATAACATGCCAGGACATAGCACTGGTCCAGTACTTCAACGTTGAAACTTCGATGCAGAACATTAGAGTACCGCAAGGTTTAGGTACCTTTTCATGTATGTATCTTTTAGCAGCTAACTCCAGGCAAAATCTAGTATCAACTCTTTTGTGAAGTCCATAACAGTGTAACGTAGGATTGAGTACATCTTATGTCATGATTAAAGTTCCAAGTAAAGTTTTAACACTATGATGTAGTGATGGATTATTTTAAAATTAATGATTCTCAAAATCAAACTAGATGAGTATTTTGAAATATTTGTAGTGTTCTATCAAATTGTCTGAGGAATAAATGTGAATTTTGTTTCGAATATTTGTAGCTCTTTGTGTTTCCTTTATAATCAAATGTTTATAAACGAAACAACTTTTAAAAAGGTTTCATTTTAGACCCTTTACAGGTTTTTTATCTTATGTTTAACACGAAACCTGTAAAGGGTCCGTGTGGATGGAATCGTTGAAAAGTTGTTTCATTTAGGGATAGTGCGCATATAAAAATATCAATTATTTAAGTTTTCACTAACAGTGATGGAAACAAGTTTGACAGTCTTTGCAATGCTTCCAATAGATCAGTTGGAAGAGTCCAATAAGTTACCTATGTGCTTTGTTACTTAAGAAAATTGATTTGACTTAGTATTTTAAGTTGTTAGATCTACAATGAAAAAATACTTAAAAAATCCACGTTGTCTCTGGCACTCTGAGATGGAACACGAACCGATGCCCTTTCGCAATCCGGGCGACTGCGCATTGCGAAATGTCTTGGGTTTGTGTCCTATCTGAGGTGCCAGCGACAGAATGGATTTTTAAGCATTTTTCATTAAGAATATTTTTCAGTATAGCATTGTAAAAATCAAATATAACGAGTAGATTTTGATTTTGATTATTTTATTTTTTGTCGTAATCTGGGAAGTAATTTATGTTATTGTTTTTGTTCTATTTATTTACGGATGTCGGCTTTAACCTTGATGGCAAGTTGATTTAGCCAGAGTAATCTTCAACATACATTGTTATTAAATAATTATGCGATATAAAACTCACTTTTGATTAACTAAGGCAATGCAATATCCTGAGATAATAATTGGACGTAGTTACTCAAAAAGGATCCAACCCACAAATTGGTAAAAATGAGTTAAGTATACCAAAATGTTCATCAAGATCTATAATATCATATAGGAAAAAAAGCTCTGAGCTGTATTAAATATTTGACGTTTTTTTTCAATGGTAGTTACTACCCCACATCTTTGATAGGTTCATATTTTAGTTCCATGAAAACGACTCGAGCTTCTTGTATTCATATAGTAAAATAGCAAATTAAAGGCACTATCTTGGAAAAAAATCACAATAAATATAAAATTTGAGATAGTGAGAATACATTTGACATAAAAAATTAAAAAAATAAATATAAAGAACCTTTAATAAATAGTTTTTATGATTAAATTTTGGCGTTTCTGAGATTTGTTGTTTAAAAATAAGGTAATTAAAACCTAAATATACCAAAAAGGATCCAAACATACTTTAATTTTTATATTTTAATAAATATTGTTAGTTCCGTTCAAATTATGTTATAATAAGATAATGTAAGTGGTTTTCTATGCTATTAGGTAAAAATATAATATATAAAAATGTTACATCAACATGCAAAAACAGCTTAAACTTCAATCGTCTATATGTCAAATTTGACATTGTGTGGAATAGATCCTTTTTGATTAACTACGTCCAATTATAATCAGTCCAAGCGTGAGACTAACTCTTAAGGAGGGATTCGGAGGAAGATGAGAAGTGAGTTTCCATACAGATATAAAATTTCATAAACCAAATACTTACTCCGTCCTTATTATAAAACAAGGACTAATTTTAGTATCAGGTTTAAACAATTATTCAACAAAAATAAGTTTACACGTCTCAATTAGACGTTATTTCTTCGGTTATTGTCAATTTGATTTAGGCAGTCAATGGTTTAAGCCTATTGACAAACTTATTATGATAGGTATATTCCAAATTCAATTCGACAGATACGGCAATATGGGGGTTCCGGTTTCTTCTTTTAAACGTGTCTTTTTGATCTTAAAATCCAGAAAAAGTTGTAGTTTGTTGTATTTACGAGTGGGTTGGGCTGTCCTTCATATTATTTTGTTTATAAAATAGCAGCCAGCTAAAATGACAATATTAATCAAAGTTTTATGCAAAATTCCACTTGAAAATATGCACCACTTTTGCGTTAATAAACATTGCTAGTATTTATTATTATTCTAAATTTTGGGTCTATATGAGATTTAAGAGATCTATTGTGACTTACAACCAGAATTATAGCAACTATTTCAGTCTGGTTAGTTGAAAAGTCGATGATTATCCTGACGTTCAAAAACTTTTATTTTTTCTGATAGATGTATGCTACGTGTCCAATGTCAATGTCACTTAATTTCTCATGAAGGTGTTGTCTGTTTAGTTTGCTTTGCATTTGAACAAGAACGTCAATTTAAGGCTTTGTAATAAAAATTCTGAGGATTTATTCATTTTATAAGATTGTCGCTGTATTGGACAATTTTAATCGAAAAGTTAATGTCCGTGTTATCATAATGCGCGTGTATGTTGTTTCATTTCAGTTTTGTTAAGACAACGATGTTTTCCTCAAGTTATTGTTATATGCATATTGTTGTAAGTTCACTTTGTTCAACAACGTATTACATACTCGTAATTGTAGGGGTTCCGTAACTGAAGGGTGAAACGGTTCCCTATTACTATGACTCCGCTGACCGTTAGTCCCTTTTCCACCAGGTTGTATCCCATGAACGTAGTAGTTAGACAGTTAGACTTAAATTTTCATAAATGATGTATTAATTTGCAACCGTTTTTCTGTTTTCATTAAGAATATTTTTCAGTATAGCGTTGTTAATGCAAAATTGGTCAAATATAATAAATTATGTATTTCTGTGGCCGCTATAACAACGCCGCTATATAAATACTAAAGTGATTAATTTGCGTTTCATATATGTTGCAGTCAAGTGGTATAATCAGCCGACCCATTACCCATTGAGGGGCTAGCCCTTTAATAAAATTGAATGCCTACATTCAATCAAAGGGCTAGTCGCCCAATTGGTCGGCTGATTATACCACTTGGCTGGGATATATATCTCATGATAGATCGTGGTACGGAAACCTTTGTGCGCAAGTACGACTCTCACTTGGCGGCCTATTATCATGTTTCTATAGGTCGCAATAAATTTCAGTGCAACCTCGCTTATTAATAATCGTAAATCGTTAATAAATTATTTTTATCGTAAAAAGCTCAATCGTGTAGTAATCTGCGTTCAGTCTTCGATTATGGAAATTAAGCAACTGTTGCAAAGGGCGGTCATCGAATGGGTGACCGAAAATTTATTATCTTTATGAAAAAGGGACTAAGTGGGAAAATGAAAAAAAAAAAAACTGGTGACATGAGAATTTGCTATAACAGAATAATTTTTCATTAATAATATTTTTTTTTTCAGGTTTTATATATTTCGTTGTTCTTATTGCAATGTATGGCTACATTGAATTCTACAAGTCCGACAACACTTGATGTGTATGTGCTTAAGATTCATATACTTTTACATATTTTATTTGGATCATTGGATATTTCTTATACATCGTTGTTTCAAAAAATGCCCCAACTATGAGTTTGTGATTGTTGTTAACTATATAATACACGGTAATTTCACACGCGGTCGGACAATTTATAAAAAACGAGTACACCATATTATTCCAAAATGTCAAATTTGCGATGTTCATCTTTTTGAAATATATTTAGCAAATTAGATATTCTGATATGTTATTGATTGACTTTTGGTACTATGATGATGGTCTTTCGATTGTGCATAAAATGTTAATGTCATTGAGTGACATAGTTGACCTATTTTAACTATGTTAATTAATTTTAATTCGGAAATTAATTTTAATTATACCACTTGTCTTCATCTAATATTAAGTAGTATTCATTCTCAATAAATATTGTGATCTGATATTCGAATAACTGTTGATAAACGATAAATAAAAAAAAAAAGTTGTTTGATTATAATTTAGAAATATAATTACATTTACAAAAATAAGATAATTTAAATATTAATTTTAGGGGCAGTAGCAATAAAGATAACACTGCATTTGTTAATGAAGTAATACCTATACCATTGAAGGCACGTCGTAAAGCATCTTTGATTATAAATCCAAGAATGGGATTACGGTCCGGTAAAAATAATATAGTTGATAGCCTTTTGTACGTCGAATATGATAACAAAGGTAAAATATTAAATCGATTTCCGATGAGAAGTCTAGCTGATGTAAAACATTTCTTCGAGATTAGCCGGGATGTTGAAATTTGTTACGATTATTGTCCTGGAGAAGAACCTCTGATTGAGAGGTCTGGAGCTGAACTTTTCGACTTGAGTTCAACGTTATCGACCGTTAACGGCCCTCAACCAATTAGTGAAGCAGCGATTGCTGGCGGTATTCGGAGCGAGAGGTCATCTGTAGTCTGAAAATATCATACAATTTAGATGAAAATGTGTTTATTGTCACATTGTGTTTATTGTTATTATTATTTTTTAATTTATACAAAAAAAAAACAAATGGCAGCATTTCAATATTTCATATCTTGTTTAATATATTTTTAGTAATATGATTGCCAATAAATGTCTTAGAGTATAAATGTATCAAATATTTTATTTTATAAATCTATAGCGTATTCATTTCTATTCTTGTTGCTTACCTTATGATATATGAATATATCAGGAATAGTCTTAAATAATAATATAAGACCATTCTAGAATGATCACCACCAACACACCGATTTAAATGTCAGAATCATCTATTTGAAAAGTTATATAATAATCTTAGTATTAAAATCAAGAATTGATACCTAATTTCCGGTATTAAGTTATTGCGTTTACACAATGTTTTTTTTATTCAATTTTATAGTAAATTACCTTATAATAAATAAATATAATGAATTTATTTACCGTTTCATAATCTTCAGTGTTTTCGGTGTATGACGTAATTGAATTTTCATTGAAATCTTTAGTATTATTTTTCGGTGTAGGTATTGTTTGATCTTCATTAATCCAATTGCTATTAGGATCTTTGTTTCTATTGTGATCACTATTGACACTAATGTTCTCTTTAAAACGGTTATTAATGCCTTTTTTAGGGAATATATCATCAATGAGTCTTTTATATTCAGCACATTCTGCAGCGTTTAATGTTAAACAATCTGTTTTGACATCATTCCTAGTATTTACTGCATAATTTTCTGTTGTTGAGAAAATATAATGTTCTGTGATTGCTGATTCTGGTACTGTTTTGGTATGAAGTCTGTAGATAGCGATGTTAGTGCTTGGTGTGGTGCTGTAATGAATTTAAAATTGTAATGTGAATTGCATATTTGCTTAAAATAATTTTACATCAAAGAAACATAAGCACAAATAATAAGGAAGATCCGTCAAGTATCATCCATTTAGTGTAAAAATCTTGAGTGTGCAAAATTGTGTGTTTATTATATATACTGCTCAACACGATTTAGGAATAATTTTTATTAGAGTGAATCACAAAAAACTATAAGAAATCAAATAAAAAAAAAGAATGCTATAACTGTTCAGAAACAATTCCAAATTCGTAAAAAAAAAAAGAATTGAAGACATACGTGAAATACACGATTTGTTCAGTAGAACGTGATATCATAGTAGTTACGGTTATACAGAGGATACAGTGATTAAAAAAATATAAAATAAAATTTATCATATTGTTTCTGTTTCTACAACAGCTTAAGTGGTATGATGACACTTTATTATGACATAATTAATTTCTAATGACATAATTAATAAAAATGTTTATTTTTCAAAACTTAGTCTAATTACACTAGGCGTTAGGACCTTCCTTTCGAACAACAATATTTTAATAATTTACCATGTTATAATATTTTTTTTTTTTGAAAACTTGGATTGGGAATGATTGGGAAAGGGATGATAATGGATATTTATGATACCCCTGTTGGCAAAGTGGGGTATTTCATATGGGTCCCCCGGCAAGATGAGGTGGGGGCCATATGTACCAGAACACAGTTGCTTTAGATCCCCCTTATGAGGGGGGATCGTTCTGCTCCCTGGAAGGGGGATGTTGAATGATAATGGATTTGTATGATTGGTGTGTAAGGTGAGGTTGATGAGGGGAGGAGGGTGGGACCGGGAAGCGTCTCGTTGAATCCTGCGGTGGTCCTCCTCAAATAGTGGTAGAGAGAGTGAGGGGATAGTTGGTGAAGAAAGAGGAGACGGGGGTCGAAGAATGGTTAAGCAAGAAAGCGAGTATGTAGTGAGGATAGAACCCCCGTTTCCGAAGAGATAGTGATGAGTGATAGTGAGGATGTGAGTGCGTGTGTGTGTGTGTGTATGAGGGCGCTGGGGATGAGGCTGCCCCGCCACCCCGCGACCCCGTCCAGGATGAGTGGATGGGTATGTTATAATATTATAACATGATAAATTATTAAAAACTCTTAAGATTCTATAAACTTAAGTGTTTTTAATCATGTTATTGAGAATGCACTGTCAGTATTTTACCCTGGTGTAGCTGTTATATAGGAAGCCGGCTCCATACAGTGTCATTATATCGCAGAAGCTATTAGCACAAAACAAAGCGTAATATCAAGATTTAGGTCACGCTTTCATGAGAAGGGCGAAGTGGCGGCTGGTAGTAATGTATAAAATAAATCTGTAAAAGCCTTATTAATATTTGATGTAATGAAAAAAATATCCGAATTTATATAATTGAAATTGTATCGATTACTCCAGGTAAAAGTACTTACAATTCTGGTGTTATGTATGATGAATCCGGGAAATATATGATATCTTTAAGATAATTTGAATAGTTATTTTGAAATATACGACGTATTTGTTCCTGTCGTCTCATAGGATAACAAATTCTTCCGTGAAGTTCAAACGAAAGCAACAAAAACTATAAAAAGGAATGTTATAATTATGTTGTATGTTTAGAATGACCCACATTCTGAATTGATTATTTAAAGTTACGCACGTCTCAAACTATAACTTAAACGTAAGTCAAACAGGTTTTTGTTTATGATTTTGGTTCTTTTAATGATCATTTAATGGCAGTTTGATAAAAACAAGGACTCTTTGCCTTGTGAAAAGTAATAAGTTATTGACAATAATCAATTGAGATTTACTCCTTTTCTTTATTCAGAAACTGACTTTAAGATTTAAAAGATAACTTTATGCTCGTGACCAGAAAATCCACCTTCGAAATATGATAAAGAATCAATTACTCACCGATATAACAATCGCCATAGTAATTTAAATCCAAATTCTATGATAGTTTATTTAATATTTTCTATAAACAAACACACCGAACTTTAAGTTTAGATTTTCGTGCCTACGGTTGACTGGTCAGCGGTGTTATGAGTAATATACTTATAATGTCAATAGCGTTTTTCTTTGAAGGATGTCTTGGTCTTTATAATTCTAAAGTTGGGTTTACATTTGCCTTTTTTATTATTTTTAGAATGCTATTTCTAATTACACTAAAATAGGTCAATGACTCTGAATATATTAAAAAATCTAGTTGCTTATAAAATTTTTAATATTAGTCTAAAAATCGAAATGTAGCTTGTGAAATGCGTATAGAATTTACCAAGAACATTTTTTATCTTGTGGCTCTATGCTACAACTTCAAGGTCTATTGCTGTGTCAAAATGAAGTCCTGATTGATCTATCAGGATAATAAATCAACTGTTAAAGTTTCATAATCGACAGGGCTTGAAGTAACGTGTTATAGTAGCTGATCTTTAATTGTAAAGTCAATTTACTCCCCACTTCTCGCATGGTGAGAGATTTCATATTATCAATATTTTCGTGTGCTGTCATCTGATTGATACAAAAGTAATGAATATAGCACTGTATATATTTAAATAAGTTTACCTAAATTAGCTTTTAATTTAATCAAATTAAACTTTCAATAAATGTAAACCTAGCTTAAATGTACGGAAGATGCTCACAAAAAACTTAAGTGTATTAATTCTTCGAAGTTTGGCTTTAGCACAAAAAGTTGAATATTCTTTTATGTTAGGTAATGATAGACAGACTAATGTAAAAGTGTTGTACTATATAACAATTATAGATAATAATGTTTCTTTGATAATTTTCCGGCTACATTTTTTTCCTTAATACTGACCTATCTACTTTGGCAACAACAATAATTATTTATTATGCTATTCCATATATCTAAATAACTTTAGATTTCGAACATTTCAAGAAATATAGGGTTATTATATTATGATATTAACATGATGATTTATTAGTCATTATTGGTCTTTTTCTACCCATATAAAATAGGCATCCCCTATTTTCAGACAATGCCGTTATTCTGATATTGTATTTCCAATATAAGTTACTCCGTTACAGGCATTTTGGTTTAGTTGTTTGTCATCGGTAATTTTCGTCGGAAATGAATAATAAACGACCTCTTGCCGTGATATTGTGAGTATCAAATGCTCTATTTGATTTAATTTTACATTTAATGCCTTAATATAAAACTCGTTCACTCAATCAGCGTTCACTAGTAATGTATTGCAAGTAATGAGTACGGATAGTGGGCAGAGTGCTCTATATAAATTGATAAAGCTATGGAAAACCAGTAGCGGGAAATTTAATGATAAAAACCTTTTGGACTATTATTTTAACATTGTATTGTAGCATCCAATTATTTTAATTTTCATTAATAAATATCGATTAAAATAAGATATTACTTATGTCGTTTTTCATTTTATTTAAAAATAACAAAATCATATTAAGTGAATTAGCAATAAACACTCGATAAATAATTTCAGTTTGCATTGAAATTATATGAAAATGTTGTTTCAATCAGATTCATTACTTTTTCTCGCTAATCCAATGAACTAGCGATAAAATATTTTACGAGTAGATTAACTTTCCATATTTTTCAATGCAGTTGCTCATAAAGCGCTATTTTTTTAATCTATTGCAAACATCGAAAGTGAGTCTTTAAACACGTGTTAAATAAAAAGGTACTGAAATCCTTTACTGCACACGTGCTTAAAAGTATTTTTAAATTTTTTTTTTGGCCGAGCATCAAAGAAATAAAAAAAAAAAATGATGAAAATATGTTAAACTTTAGAGGCAAAAGTATTTCAAGGAGCCTAGAGCGAATATTTTCAAATAAAAATATATGACACGAAAACATGTTAAAATATCACGTTTAATTTTAACAAATAATTTTTACCTTTAATACATACTTAGTTTTATTAACCTATATATTTGTTTTATTTCCTCGCAAAAAGCATTGAAAAATGTTGTAAGAAACTTGAGCGTAAAAGGTTTTTCGAATTCGTGCCAATGAAAACTCCTACTCCTCGCAACGCTCGTGTTTTCAATTTGGCCCTTATTCATAAAGCCTTACTTTCCGCACTCGTATCTTAAATAACTATTAGATCTTCAAGATACATATTTAGTAGTCTAGTATAATTAGTATTTACTGTATTAGTCTGGCCATAAAAACTGTAAAAAATAAACAAAATATTATTTTTGAATTTCGAAACTGTCATTTTTATATAATTGTTCATTGTCTTTTCTATTAGCGCCAATACATTGCAAAATATTTTATGATATTGATTTGATATGGGGTATGTTCCGATATACACTGCGACCACTGAACAGTATGACGTCAATTTAGTATACTGGAAGCCCGTTCCTTTATAGCTAGTTATACTGGTGACTTTTTAAAACGGAACGCAGTCCAGTATACTGTTAATCCTATTTTTTGGCGCCATTTTCAAATTTGTTAATGCAAGGTGAATATAAATAAAGATTCCCTCTTTTCAAAAGAAAATATTATAAAATTGTGTATAAAAAATTATTTATCAATTAAATCCATCTTATAATAAACGAAAGTATTTTTTTTTGTTTATTTAGAAACTTATCATTTTCTGGTTCTGTTTCGACTGATCACGTGATCAAAAGCATTGCGAGCACCTTACCTCGAAATCTCCAGTGCTCACAGTACAAATATGGCGGCAATTTATGACGTCATAAATTTCCCTAGGGTACTGTAGCAGTGTAGTGGCAGTCCATAACGGAACGGATTTTTCAGCAGTAAGACCACTGCGCAGTGCTCGCAGTGTCTATCGGAACATACCCATGATTGCATTACATAAAGTACATAACTTTCAAAACCTACCATACGCTTGGTATTAGTCAATTATCTGTGTACCGGGCTATTGATAGGTACAATGAAATCTCCTCTGATGGGAGAGAAAAAGATCTGGCCGTTCACGTAGTGTTCATACGAAAATAGGCAATCAAAACAGTAAGGGAAGAATACGAAGAAATCTTGTCCGAATACAAAAGATCTTGGTACAATTTATCTTGGGACATGAAGATAGCTCGGGAGATGATGTCACGTATTTTAAAAGATGACTTAGGACTTGTAGCCTTTAAACCGAAGTGACTAGTGCGTCTCGTCATCTCTTTACAGATTTTTAAAAAATAATAAGTTTGGTAAAATTAAAACAACTATTTGTGCGGTACGCAAATGAAGGTCACAGAAAAAAAATAGCAATATTTTAACAAATAAAATGACCGTATTTAAACTCAAAGGTCTAAAAAAGCTTCAGGATTAGTTAACAGAGTATAACGTGGGCATTATCCGATTCAGTGATGGTTTGGTGAGGTGTTAGCTGTGAAGGAGTGACAAAGCCATATTTTGTGATAAAGGCATTAAATGAAATGAGATGAAATGAGATGAAATGAGACGAAATGAGATGAAATGAGATGAAATGAGATGAAATGAGATGAAATGAGATGAAATGAGATGAAATGAGATGAAATGAGATGAAATGAGATGAAATGAGATGAAATGAGATGAAATGAGATGAAATGAGATGAAATGAGATGAAATGAGATGAAATGAGATGAAATGAAATGAAATGAAATGAAAATATCTTTATTCAAGTAGGCTATTACAAGCACTTTTGAATCGTCCAAAAAACTTTTTT